GGGGGGGGGCGTTCAGGGGGGCCCCAGCGTACTCCCCGGCAGAGGACCCTAAGTACTTCCAGTGCATGGGTTCGCCGTTGAGCATGTGGGGGATGCTCCATCCACCCCAGCACCGCGGCATTCACAAGCTGCACTGGTAACTCGAGGTACATAGAAAAAGCATTTAAAGCTATGTCTTTGCCTGAATCGCTCATTCTCCGAATCAGCATTAAATCTTCAGTTTTGGATTCGGCCAAATCGAATCAGGGACAGCAATTTGAATCAATGAATCGAATCACTGTCCCCGATTTGGATTGAATCTGAATCCGAATCTAGTAGGGCCCACTTTGCACACCCCTAATACTCACCTACATATAACTGTCCAAATTCAGCCTTTAATGGGGTTGTACATGGTGAAGGTCAATAAAAAGCCCTAAAGTGTATTAACAACGGGCCCCATAATTAGACTGGGACAGCAAATTTTGGAAGTCTTCATATGATAATTTGTAAGATCTGACAGTAAGTCTGTTTCACAACCCATTAAAAACAATGAGAATCTTCCATTTCTTTGGCATTAGACCCTGTATAATAAAGTCTACACTATACAAGAAACATCACATATATGTTAACAATTTTGTTAACATATAGTTAACATAGCTATGAATGAAGAATAAGTGTTTAATTCATTGTCTGTGCTCATATTATCACAGCAAATATTTTTGGTGTTCTTCCTCACAAATAGAAACCAAACAATGTTATCAACTTCTCCTATAGAAACTAATGATTTTTGAGGGCCCTGGTTTCAAACAGCAAATGAGAGACACTTAGGGCTGTAGGAGAGAGCACAGCTATGAAAACAAACCCTGCCGGTTATTCTTACTATGCATATGCTACTTTTCTGGTGTGCACCAAAAGTGCCCCCAGTGCTGCCATCAAGCTGCAGAGTGCTCATTACAGTAGAGCTGGCTCTACACAGACCTGCTGTAATCATAATGAAGACACATTTTTTCAGCATGTGGCGTGTTTGGAACACAAACAAGTGGGTAGAGCTCCCTATCAGTCTGAGATGGCACAGACATGCCTCAAAATTTAACTTGTAGTGGTTCTAAAGACCAGCTGCTCTCAATGTATATATAAATATAGTTTACACATAATGACGTCTTCTTTTTTGTCAAATATCCAGCTGGAGCAATATCAAAAAAGCATCAGTTTTGGAAAAAAATATTGGAGAACATGTTTAATTTTAACTCCTCCACTCTATTTCTGCAACATGCTGCCTGTTTCAGGATACAGCAAAGTAAAGCTGGGAAAGACATCAAAAGAAATATAAAAGCACATGGATCACAATAAGTTTAACAGTAGCCAAAGTAATCGGGTTCCCACAGTGCAAGCCAGAGGCAGTGCCAACTGGAAGACAGTAGACCGTATCCTTTATAAAGGCAGCCTCATTTGAGAAAAATCACACAGGGCCAAATTAATTTCCATGTGTTTTTCTTCAATAAGAGTTGTGACATTCGACCTACAGAAATTAAAAAACAACTAAGCATACAAGCATTGAAGGCATGTCATTGAAGGCATGCCCACTTTCAAATGACCACTTAAGAGAAAGACAGTACATTACATGCTGAAAGGAATGTAATGTAACCATTATAGTGTGGCACTGGGTGCCTGCCAAAAAATATGCCTGAGACAACATTTATCTCAGTGTCACTCACCTAAGGCAGCTAAGAGACATGTTTTACTATGTAACATGGGTGCAGCAGGTGCTTAACTGTGGCACTCTCTAGCATGATCCTTGACAAGACATATACTGTTAGGTTCCTTTTCTACAGCAGACTTTTTTCTTCCTTTTTCTCCTCCTACATTTATTTTATATTTGAATTCTAAGATAAATGATAATGTTCTTGAAACAGACATGGCTACTTTTGCTGCTGCTTCAATGTCTTTTCAGCTGGGGGGCGGGGGGACTTAAATCACTTTAAATTGAAAACTCTTATATTAAAGAGGCTATTGAATACAGGGAAAGGAACTAATACCCAAATAGGTTTACAATCGGATCTAACAAAAGTATTTAAGTATAGTTTTAGTAATTGAGAGAAACATTTAAGGCCTATTTTAGTAACTGAAGTAGTTCGGTGCCTAAATTTAAAAGATTCCCTTGGGATAAAAAAACCCAAACTATATATACACGCTATTAGCATGATGCAGATGGAGGTTGGTTAAGTTACAGAGTTTAGTTTAACAGGACCTTTAATCCTTTGAAATGGGTAGACAACAAAATGTAGATCCTAAATTTTGAGCACTAACTGCACAGTACCCCAACTTCATCCAACTTGCACTCTGAGAACACTTCAATAATAACATTATTTTCTGTTAGATCTATTATACTGACATATCAGTGCATCTGTCACAAATAACAGGCTTTCAGAAGACACTTCACCTTAATACCGCTGAGGTTACCATTAAGGTTTGTGGCTTGGGTGCAATTCTAATAAAGCTGGAGTGCATACTGCATTTGGATGTTTGCTGGGGATACAAACAATGGCACTGATATGTGTTACCGACAGTGTTAATAGTGTTACAGACCAGCAAAGTCCAAATCTCTGACCTCATAGACTGGATGAGTAATGTGGTCTGCATCCTGGATCCAGTGTGTTAAGCTCTGACATCTGGCCTGCCGGCTTGGAATTTGGCACTGTCAGTGTTAATTGCTGCTGCTGCATCCCAAAATTTGGGGCCCGGAAGGCCAGATGATATAACTCCACACTTCAGACACGGTTCACAGGCTTCCTCACAGGTCTGAAAATTTGGCAGCAGTATGAGTAGCAGCAATGCTAACTGGCCTTGGAACTGCAATAATTAACCCTGCCACTGCTTACCACTCCACTAAATTTCCAGATCTATGGGGAGGCCCAGGGCCCTTGATAACATGGTTCCATGGCCTCTCTCTGTAACCACCATTGTATCCAATTTGAAGTTGGAAAGCAATGCATCTCCGTCTACTTAACTTCACCATTTGCATCATTTTATGAGGATGGGTTTTGTTTTGTAACAAAATTAAACTGTCCCTAAATGTAGTTTTTGTTTGCTATTTTTTGTTTCAATGTGTCAAAAGAAACTGTGCATGAAATTTTGTGTCTTCATCTACTTTGTTACCATGTTGAGTAAAAATAAAACATCCATTTTGAGGCCTACATTACCCTAAGGTCCTGATCTTGTAACTAATTACATATGGGTGAATTTCTGAAAATATAACTGAAGGAAGGCAATTAGTGCAGCACTATCTTTGGAAGGGGCCCCCAAAATACCTGCTGCCAGTGCCAGCAAAGCAACTGGTGCTGCCCAGTGAGCTGCTGCTACCCAGAGCATGGAGATGCCCTATTACACCTCTGCCTGTACTCACGAAATGACAGGGTGACTATACACATGCTCAGGGGTGGGGAGGTGCCATTTTAATTAGAATGGTTCCCTGAGAGCTGCTCTAATTAAAACAGCTCACTGTCACATGTATTAAGCCACCCGTGTTTTAAAATGGACGTGGGGGCACTTTAACGTTCATTCAATGAGCTTTGGTTAAAGCACCCCTGCAGCCATTTTAAAACTTTGGGGTGCTTAATACACGTGATAATAAGGTGATACTGGAGCATTCTAATTAGAACGTGTTCTAATTAGAATGCAAATCAACATGTCTATAGGTAGCCACATTCTTGAGGATCAGAAGCACAGTTCAAAAAATAAATTTAAGCATCTATTCAGTATGAGACAATTAAAAGAGTACTCCTATTATGCTACTTGCAATATCCAGATACATTTTTATTGAAAAAGCAAACTTTCTAAAGATTGGTGGAAAAAATAATTTATTGAAATTCTTCTACATGTTGACATGAAACATTTATACATATATATTTTGTGCTGGTAAGATAGATATACTCGATATAGACAAACTTTTTTATACACAAAAGTAATTGCACTGTACTATCTTATTAGTTTTATACAGCTAATATTCAGAAAACGTTGGTGGGCTGAAAATGGACGTATACAGGAATTCAATGCACTTTGAAGCTGATTTAATAATTCTTGACAGGTTGTCCAGAATATTAAAATATTCAGTAAAGAATAATACAACATCATTTCTGAAAATTAACAAGACCATACCAAAAGGCTTTGCCTAACAGCTATGTCTCAGCAAGAAACCTTTCATTTTCAGAGGGGTTCTACTGGAAAGAACCAAAACAATACAGATGGCACAAAACTGTCCAGTAATCTATTTGCACAAGTTAGCTGCATGTAATTAATATGAAAAAATAAGAAATACATTGTAAGTGAACAGCATTTGAGTAAAAGTACCTTTACACATAATTCAAATTGCAATGTTAGGCAAAGACCTCTTATTTTCAATATACAAAATGTAAATGTATTATCTACAGAAGGAAACTGTATAACAACATCAAAAGAGACACTGTTTTCTGATGAGTAACTGGCACAGTGCAACAAGTAGTATTCCCAGAAGCAACTGGAATGCACTATGAGGGCAGATTGAAAAAATAATGGACATTAACAGAAAATTTCTCATAAATTAGTGATCTGGATTAATCATTCTTTCTATCAAATGAAACTTTTGCCTTTCCAGATATGGTGTGTATTCACACAAGTACTCAGAATATATAAAACTACCACTACACTGCAGAGATGAAAATGAAGACAGCATGTGAGGCAGATGAATATGGTTAGCTAGGGTACAAACAATGCTAAATGCCATTAAGTATTATTCAATATTTGGAATATGAGAAGGGTCACATGATTCACCAAAAGAACAAGAGGCTTGACATGCACTCACAGTAGAAAGACAAGAGCAAAAGCAGAAGCAAAAAAAACTGAATGAGAATTTGAAGGAAAGTGAATACGATTCTGGGTTTGGATAGATGGCCAAATGAGAAATGTAAAGTGAAGTAATACCCACAAACCATCATTACTGCCAGACCAGCTGGTTGGAAACAGTATTGCACCCTATCCAGTGTCTTCTTCCTCTTCCCCCAGTTCAGTAAGCATCTTGCTTTATTTCCTTGAGTGCATGTAAGGAAAGTTTAAGAAGTGAGGAATTTTCTTTGAAGCAATAAGACTGAGAATCAATGTAGTAACAAAATAGGTTTGATATTTTTCGCTGTAACTTTGGTATTGCAAATGAAAAGATAGCCTGGTATCAGCCCCTTTGTGTGCAGAAAGATAATCCTCTATTAAAAGATGTGCCAATGCTCCCCTGATCGCTATCCAGCTCTGGCTCCTATTAGAACCTGACTATGGGAGGCTCCTCTTAAGCCTGGGTCATCCACAAAATAAACAAAGCACAAACCAATCCCAGAATGCCCCTATCTGTTTATGCAGAACAGTCAGGAATGTACCATCTGACAATCTTAAACCAATGCTGGTGGATGCCAGAGAGGGTATGGACAGGGGATAGATCACTTTAGACTTATATATCCTGTTGATATATTCTCCCTCTAAATCATCTCTTACTGCCTCTGTTGGAAACAGCATAAAGGGCTAGATCAGTGGTGCTCAACCTTTCTGGCTGGCAAACCAGATGAGTAGTGCCCAAGCTGCCTGCGGGCTGGATCCAACTGGCGGTCTCAATCTGCCATGGGGAGGTCACAACAGGGCCCAATCCAGCTGTGCAGAGTGGGGCAGGGGGCTGCTTGGCTTCAACATAGCCCTCCAGGGGAAAGAAGTGTGGCCCAGCCCAAATCTGGCCCCACAGGGGGAAGATTCTGGCCAAGACTAAGCCAGCCCTGCAGGTGGGGAGGGGACATGGCCCAGCCCAATCCAACCCAGTGGGAGGGCCCTGGCCTGGCCTGGCCCCATCCAGCTGCAGTAGAGGAGGGGAGGTGGCATGACCCAGTCCCAGCCCACTGCATGGTTTGGGGTTTGTGAATTTGGCAGCAGGGGTGGTTAGCTATATTTACCACTACCACTCCCGTCACTACCACATTTCCTGATTTATGGGGAGCCCCGCAGGCTGGATACCTATGGCCCCCACAAGCCACATTTGGTCCATGGGCTAGAGGTTGAGTACCCCTGGGATAGATGGACCACTGGTCTAATTCAGTATGGCACTTTTTTATGTTATGTCCTTATGGAAGCATCTATAGTCAGAGAAAATGCTAAAGCAAGGGGGAGTCCATATTGCTACCATGTATGTGAGTAAGTTATGCTTTTGCTGGACAGGTACATGCCCCATATGTGCATACATGAGAGAGTGTAAGTCCTGAAATTGTAGCTGGGTAAAACCCCATAGCTAGTGGGTCTGAGAAGGAAGAGGAGGGTCCTGCACTGTTTTAGCCTAATAGCTTCATGGTTAGAGTATGCATGCAGGAAGTGGGACACACAGGTCCTAGGCTCCTCTCAGCCACAGCTTCACCACGGAGCATTCAGTATTCAGTGCAGAGCAGTGAGGTAATTTCTACCCCACTGGGAGCAAGGGTCCAGACTAGAACCTAAGACCTTCTCCCTTCCAGGGATGCAACTCTCAATGAGCCACACACCCTCTATCTTGCTCTCTTTTTCCTGGTCCCTCATATATCCATCTCTCAGCTGCCTAGGGGGGCAGCTTCAAGAGGAGGACTGGAGTGGGCTTAATGCCTAACTTGAAGCCTGGCTGGGGCACTGTGCTGGGAAGTCAGAAACATGTAGATTCAGACCTTCTGTGAATGAAGGGGGGTTAATACCCTGAGGCAAGTGCCAGTAAATACGAGAGAGGCTCTGGTCATAAGTTTTTGCTGGGTACAATTTAATGATTTAAACTGGCCCAGGGCAGGCATGTACTGCTTACACTCAGTACCCATGTGGACACACACACTCAGCACTTCTATTACACATGGACTTGCAAGTGCCAAAAAGAGCATTTATATGGGAGTTATTCTGTCCACAGGTTCTAATCTTCTCTCTGACTCTCTCTATGGCTCTAAGTAACTTGACATATTGTCAAAGGCAGCCTTTAATTTTTGGTGCCTTGATGTTTGGGAACCAGACCTGAAACATTTTAGATAACATATTCAGAATATTTTCAGAGCAGATGCAACTCCGGATAAGTATATTTTATTAGGCAGAGTATATATTTTTTTTTTTTGCCCTCTGGAAAACAGGATTAGAATACACTGATGTTTGTAAAATACCTTGTAAATGACAATAGTTATATAAATGCTAAATATTACTAATATTAATCTGTAGACTTGTTCTGTGAACCTTTTAAAATTGAAAAAGTTTTTAAATACCTGCATAGGCTACAAGTACAGTACCAATCTGACTATGCACTGCACTCTAATATTACATTTAAAAATAGCATGCGCCCTTTCAAAAAGGTGCTCTATTGTTTATGCTGTAGGAAATGTTAGTAATACATTTTAAGGCACCTTGAGAGCCATAGTCAGATTTTAAAAGTGAAAGCAAGCTATGTAAAAATATACAATGACTTTATATCTGATTAAAAATATAATTAGAAAATTATTATCCAAAGATGTCACACAATATTAATGAAAGTAACAATATATGTTACAGAATATACATATACATTTTTCTGAGATAAAATATAGTGTCTCCTGATTTTAATGTACTAGGCTAAGAAATATGTAGTAGCTACCATCGAAAAGTCAATGTTCACTTATTCATATACCTGCAGTAATAATTGTGGTTAAAATTTTCTAAACTGCCTGAACTGGGCTCTCAGGAGTTTGTATGCCTGTACATTTACTGAGAGGAGAACAAGGGTGTGAACTTAAAGCATTTCAACTATTCATGGTAACACCACATGTGCATGTTTTTACTCCCACAATAAGAGTAAGTTAGCTTACCCCATTTGCACCGAGTGCTAACCTATCTCGCACTTTCAATGGCATCAGAACATACACACAGGCAGTTATCTTGGAGTTGCTGACATACGTACATTGACACCCAAGCTTACCTCACAGTAACTTGTTCATGTACCCATATACTTAAGACTCCTGAGAGCCTGACTCACTTTAAAAAAAATACAGTTTATGCTGCTAAGCCACTTACCTCTAGCTATAATTGTGGTTTAAAATTTTCTAAAATGCGTATGTGAATAAGTGAGTCTGGATTTTTTTTATAGTCATTTGGGCCACATACATATATAGCAAAAACTTTGTTATTTGGCACCCATGGGGAATGGGGGGTGCTGGATAACAAAATATGCTGGTTAATTGAGAGGCCCAAACAAGCATCTGCCTGTTTGGGCCATTGCTTCTCCCACCATATCGCTGACCCTTCTGCGGGTCCCCGAGGGACAGGGAGGTGGGCCCCACGCAGCCGGGCCATGGGGGCTCGGCAGCGCAGGCTGCTTTGCCCCAGGCCATGGGGGTTAGTAAAACTGGAAGTGCCACAGTGGGCACTTCCAGTTTTGCTTTTACCTTACAAGCCAGCATGCCAGTTAATAGAGCATGCCAGCTTGTAAGGTGCTGGTTAAGGCAGCTTTTACTGTATTCACTTTCACTTGGGAGACTTGCTGCTGCCCCATGAGAAAACATGACTGTAGAGATGTTCAGGATTTTTCTCCCAGAGAAAAAATGGCTGCTCTGGAAGAAAAGTGACCTGGGAACACCAGGGTTAAATCACTCATGGAAGAGTTTCTCCTGGGACAGCAAATGTCTATATACATTCTCTTCTGAGAGAATCAACACAGTCCACCAGCATCTCAGGGTACTTTGCTTTCCCCCTCCTCCACCATGCACTGTTGCCACTCCATCTCCACGCAGAATGAGGGAGCTGGCAGAGCATGTTGTGATGTGTACACAGGCATCCCTCCTGGCTGTGCAGAGTCAGCACTGCAAGCTCTTTGCTCTTCAGGGGCATAGCATTCAATGTCTCTTCAAGAGCCTCTGGTAAGTTTTTCTATCAGGAAAAAAAAACTGGAAGAACTCTCTCAGATCATCTGAACGTGCGTATGCAGCCTTATTTGTATACTCAAACTCTTAGAACCATAGGCAGAGAATGAGCCTTTGGCTGCAAAAGGCCTAAGTCACTTCTGAAAACTAAAATTAAGCTGAGATGCTAAATTATTTCCTTTGAAAGTTTTACCCCATCATTTTTGAAAATGGGACTCAGGTTCCCAAGTCATATAAGACATGTCTTCATTGCCTCTGTACTGCACCCAGGATTATCATGACAAAGCAGAGTACACATGCTCACTCTTGCTCCACTTGTTCCAGATTCCAGAAATCACACTATGTAGCCAATATAGAGCTGCCCCAAGAGCATGCCAATAAGCTTCTTTGAGACGGAGATCTTGGCTAGCATTGGACATGCACTTGGGGCCCTTGTAAGCAGCTACAATGCCTTATTTTTGGGAGCTGGCCTATATGGACTGGAAGTAAGTGCTCCTGGGCAATGAATGGAGAGAAGTATAGATGGTTCCTTAAACTCTTTTACATAATTTGACCCTGTATTTCCCTTAGTTAAGGCATCTATCATGCAACAGCCTCCATGAAGGCAGATCCCTGTGCTAGCACAGAGTCCCACTCGTATCAGCAGGGAGCCTCTGCAGAGGCATAGTTAGTTATAACTGGTGACTAAGATTTAAAAGACTGCAATATTTCACTCACTGCAGGGAAACAAATGATAAGTTTTCAAATGGCACTAACTTTCCACATCAGTTAAACAGAGATGTACTGTATATTACAAAGTCTAATATAGCAGAAAAATCTGTAGAGAGAAATAAATATTTAAACACTTGGCAAGCCCCTCAAGAACTTTTTATAATACAAAAGCTTTTTTGTTTTTTTTTGGTGGGGGGAAGGGGGAGGCATAAACACCAAAGACCAATAATCAAGCCCTTTAATCTGCTGTCAAGGTAGTAAATACATTAATGTAATAAAATATTTACAAAAGGGTTTATTTCTTGTAGGGAAGATTCAGTTTTGCAAAACCAAATAGTTCTTTGTGGTTTAGATTTAAAACTTGTTTTATTTATGCCTTGGTTTAAAAAAGAATTACCCTTTGGTTAGTCATACCTCTGTCTCTGTACTCTTTCTGGACAGAAACCAAACCTGCATTGGTTCTTTTTTTCCCTTCATGGAAACTGGACCTCTGTGTTCCAGGTGAAATTGAGGATCTGAATTTTCTGGTGTCATAAGACACCTGGAATTAAAAACAAAAATAATATTATACACTGAAGACACTGATAGCTTGCATCTCAAGGCTATTATCATGTCTTCATACAAATTCTTGAGCTTGTACTTCATTCTTTCCTATGGAAATAGTGATTTACAATACAGTCTATCACAACAATTCTCAAAAATCATGTGATGTAACATGCTGACAAGGGCCTGACGTTATCACCTATATTTTTTTTCTTAAATCATATTGAAAACATTTTTCCTTTGAAATTATCATCCATAAGGGTTTCTCAACATCTCACCTGTAGGTATACTCAGAGACATTGATCTTTCCCTTTTCTCCAGTCGTTTCTGTTCTGCTTGTCAGATTAACAGTGTTTCCAAAGAGACAGTAACGTGGCATCCTTTGGCCAATGACACCGGTAACCACCTCCCCAGTATGAATGCCTATTGTTATCTTTAAAAAGAAAAAGACAATATTTTGTTAGTTCTTTATCAGTTTATTATCTTGAAGATTCAGACTCAGTATGTGTAACAGCCATTTTATACTATAATTCTGAGATATCTGCCTCGGTTACTCACTATACCATTGTAGCAACCCCCCCCTCCCCCCCCCCTAGTTTTTTCTCTTTTTTTTGTATTTATTTTAAAATGCATTCCCTCCCCTTCCCCAACCATTTCTGACCTTTTCTGTCCCTCTCTATTCCCTATAGATAAGTATAAAAGTGAGCTCAGACTTGGGATAAGCTTTAAAGATTTTTATTTTGGTAGCAAGTTTTTGGTTTGGGATATCCACTGTTTTATATTGTATTATTATTTGGTTTGTATTGATTCTAACTGCTGTATATTGTATTATTATCATTTTCGTATCGACTTTTATTGTTTCATATGGATATTGTATGGTTTAGGCCTGTGTTTGTAGGTGAACCAAAGTCATGTCAAGTTTCCATTTTATGTCAAGCCTCCATCTTCTGTCCTCTGCCTGGGCATTCCATGTTGCAACTGTATGAGTCACATACCCCTCCCATGTAAATTGGTTCCTCGATGAATGAGAATGATTGGGAACGACTGAAATACAACGGTAGCAGACCTCTACTAAAAGGCCTGTAATGACTGGGCCATCACCTCGCGCCGATTCATCCAGGAACCAAAGTTTGCCTCTATAAAAAGGGGCAGTAAAGACAGACCAAGTGGGACGCCCTCTTTATCTGGACCAGCACCATGCCACATCACCTATCCACCAAGAGGCCCTGCCGGCAACCCCCCTCTGGACAACACCTACCAGACAAGGACCCCCTTCCAGCCTGGATAGGTAGATATTACCTGCACACCTCCTCCTACAATTTGGACTCTCTCTCCTCCTGGACTTCAGTGGACTTCAGCCCCTGCAGCAAGTGTCTCCAACCCCTGCTGCCATAGTGTGTGTGTGTGTGTGTGTGTGTGCGCGCGCACACACACACACACACACACACACACACACACACACACACACGCCAATAAGACATTCATAGATGTTAGGGTCAGAAGGGACCTCAATAAATCATCGAGTCCGACCCCCTGCATAGGCAGGAAAGAGCGCTGGGTCCAGATGACCCCAGCTAGATGCTTATCTAACCTCCTCTTGAAGACCCCCAGGGTAGGGGAGAGCACCACCTCCCTTGGGAGCCTGTTCCAGACCCTGGCCACTCGAACTGTGAAGAAGTTCTTCCTAATGTCCAATCTAAATCTGCTCTGTGCTAGCTTGTGGCCATTATTTCTTGTAACCCCCAGGGGCGCCTTGGTGAATAAAAACTCACCAATTCCCTTCTGTGCCCCCGTGATGACATTGTGTCACCATCTCCCCTGTTCAATAAAACCACTGTCATTTGCAACCCTGAGTTGGGTCATGTTTTACTGAACCCCAGTCCCTTCCCTATCTTAAATTCCAGCCTCATTCTCTCTCTCTCAGCTCCAGTCCCCATCCTTTCTGCTAGTTTCCCAATCTCCTCACAATTCCATCTCCCCTTTTCTGCCACCTGTCAGCCTCCCCTGCTCCTACTGCCTTTTCCCTGCGACTTTCTGCTGCCTTTCTCTGCTTTCCTGCTGCCCTGCCGCCTGCTGCTTTTCCTGTGATTTTCTGCTGTCCGACACTGTTTTCAGGCTTCCCCCGCACCTTCTGTAATCCTCAGCCCCAATCTACAGCTTCCCAGCTCCTCCTAGCTGTCCTACAGTTTTCTCCAGCAGATGAAGACTTTCTCTAGCTTCCAGCACCTACTGCCACTCCCTGCAACTTCTCTAGCTGCCCTAGAACCATCCTCTGGCTCCCCACGCCCAGAGCCCCTCTTTAACACCCACACTTTCCCTTAGTCTCATTTTCCCCTCTCCCCACCTATCTTTTCAGCTCCCCCGTAGCTCTGGCTCCAGTCTCAGCCTCTGTGCTGGCATGCTTCCCTATTCTACAGGCTTTGGGCATTGTCTTTTAATCAATTAAGATCAATTAACCTAAAGTTACCCCAGATCCTCAGTTCTTCAGCCCAGGCCCCTGTAATCTACCGGTTCTAATCCCAGTCCTGGTAATTTTAACTCCCTACACTTCTACTTTCTTACCTTAACCTTTCCCCAAGTACACCAAGCACATACATACGTACACATTACAACACCCAACTTAGGAACTCACTTGTGTGTATGCGTAGATGGGTGGTATGTGCATAAATTAGTGAATACACATATACAGATATCATTGTGTGTGTGGTATATGAATTAGTAATCCACGTATGTGTATTGGATGTGTAGGTGTTGGTAACTGGTAACTGATTCTGTCTAAATTTGGTGTGTGTAGCGTGTATGGGCTTAAACTGGTGATAGGTGTGCATGAACCTAGACTGGTTATTTTGAACATGTGTGTATCTGAGTTGCTAGTGTGAGTGTGTGCGTGTGTGTGTGTGTGTATGTATATATGTGTGTGTGTGTGTGTGTGTGTGTGTGTGTGTATATATATATATATGTATGTATGTATGTATATGTGTGTATATATGTATATAAATATGGCATTGTGTGCATGATATATGAATTAGTCATCTGTCTCTAACTTTTGGGGTGTGTAGTGTATGTGCTTGAATTGGTGATAAGTATTCATGAACCTAGGCTGGTTTGCCTGTGTATGTGCCTGAGCTGGTAGTGTGTGTGTGTGTGTATGCACCTAATTGATTTTTGTGTGTTTTGTATATGTGCAATTATACACCACGCCCACCTGTCTAACAGCGCAATATTGAGATCCTGAGCATTGGCCTGACCCCTCAGGGCAACACCATGTGTTGTTATTTACACCTATGCTCAGTAATTGCAAAGTACTGTCCATTCTGAACAGCTGATTTGGTCAATTCACAATTCTAATATTATAAAAGCCTAAATCTATCTGTCTGTCCATAATGCTTTATTTGCACTCTGATTGGCTGACGGAAGCAGCCAATGTCCTATCTGTGAGATCGCTTTATTTCAATCTCATTTAGAACTACCTCTGTCTTTAGTAACTATGGGTATGATGCAGGGGCGTGCAAAACGGGCCGCATTCGATTCGGATTTGACCCGAATCAGGAACAGTGATTCAATTCAATGATTCAAATCACTGCCCAATTCGATTCAGCCAAATCTGAATCTGAAGATTCAATGCTGATTCAGAGAATCAGCAATTCGGCCACATACAGAGTTTTAAATGTTTTTTCTACATACCTCAAAGTACCAGGTGTAGCCTGTGAACATTGAGATGGTGGGATGGATGGAGCGTCCCAAAGGAGCGCGGGGGGCATCTCTGCATGCTCAGGAGCAGACCTGGAAGTGGAACAAGTGCTCCTGGTCCACTTCCAGGTCTGCTGCCGAGCACGTTGGAGACGGGATGCTCCATCCGCCCCAACATGACAGCGCTCACGAGCCGCCTGGTACCTTGAGGTATGTAGAAAAAGCATTTAAAAGCAGTGACTATGTCCAAATCATTGAATCTCTCTGAATCAATTCAGAGGGTTTCAATTTGATTTGGAGAGATTAAAGGGTCTCCAGATTTGATTCGGATTCAGAGATTCAGCCACCAAATTGGGATGAATCTCCACCAAATCAAATCAGCAAGCAAAGTTTTGCATAGCCCTAGTATGATGCTGTTTATGGATTGACAGGTGTAAGTCATTAGCAGCTTTAATGAAGTCAACGGAAACCTGGGCAAACAGTCACTTTCTGTAACCAATGGCTGAATTATTCACCAATTCCTTCTTAAAGTAATCCAAATTAATCGCACTAGATAATATAACTAGTTCCTACTTTGATCAAATTAAGGTATTATTAAATTAAGCAGAACACATTATGCAATATTTTTCACTACAGATTATAGTACAATATACTGTATTACAGAAAAAATGAACATGTCATTTTCCATGATACAATAAACAAAGTAATTTGAAAATGGAAAGAAATAAAACTCTCTTATATTTATTTTATGGCATTTTAATCAAAGCCTGGTTCCTATACTGTAACTCAACTAGCTCAAAGTGCAAATTTACACAATTTGAAAATGAGCCAGCAGGAGTTCCTGTTTATGGAACATCTGAACCTTTTATTTTACTATATGCTGCGAAATATAATGATTACCTTCAGTAATAGAAAAGGCTGAAAGTGATCTGAGTTATACACACTTAAGAGACCCTACCAGCATTTTTTTTCGTTTTAAGGCTCAGCTCCCACATAGATGTCTTTATAAACAAAGATGCTTCTCACTAGTGCTATGAAGAAAGGAGTACAATGAGACTTAGGTACTATGCCTAGGTACAGACATTCAAAAAACCTGAGGCAGACTCCATCTAAATTATGCTGTTTTCTGTAAGTGAAGTACTGTAGTTTAGATCAATAGTGAACAAAGCACATATTCAGCATTTGATGCACCCGGGGGGGGGGGGGGGGGGGGACACGACAAATCTGAGCTCGGGTCCCGCTATTTTTAAACCAGTCCATGTATGCCAAACTTCTGTTCTGTTACAGGTACAGATTAGTTTTGTGTGTTGAACCTCTGTCCTGCTACAGATATAGACCAGTTTCCGATCACTTATACCAGTAAAAGTGTAATATCTGTACCTGACCTAAGATGCTGAATGTTACAACACTGAACTTCTAAGTGCCAGTGGAATCTACAGCCTTTCATATAGGAAGAGTTGGATACCTTGGAACAGAATTCACAGAAGATAGTATGACAAACAGGAAGGCACCTCAGGAAACCAACTGGGAATACTGATGAAAAGTTGTGTTTAAAATCCCATTTTTGCCTGGGGCTCAGATGCAGGTGGTAGGGTGGTATCTATGTCAGACTGGGAATCTGATATAGGCCAGAAGATGATTTTCTGATCTGAACTGTGGGTGGCACAATGGTGCCCATGTCAGACTGGGAATCACAATTAGGAATCTTCTCTAAAAGATAGGCATCTAAGTCATCCCTTTAAAAAATGGAACAGGAGTGACTCTTCATTTAAAAACAACAGCATAAGTGACACTGTTCTTTTATAACATGGCTGGAGGAGGTCACAGTGATAGTACCTCCCCCTAACCCTAGACCTATTTATATCACGGTAGTTAGGGTCATCTTCTATGAGGTGAGGACTGTTGATTCATATCATCTCAGGCAGAGGCAGGAATTAAACTCAGGTGTCCCACAATGTGGATGAGGCCATAGTTACTGACCTATTGTTTAAAAGGAAGCATTATTTCCTCTGGCTGTGCCATTTAACTCAAGTGACTACGGCTACAGTATTTTATGGATGAGGTAGTCTGACCACCCCAACCTGACTGGGTCTCTCGTGGAACTTTGGCAGAGGAATACTTGGTCTGTGGTTTCCTGGTAGATTTTATAATGTAGACAAGCTCATCAGCCAAGCCAGATAAAAGCAGTTCAAGGCATGTGCAGAAGTAAGGCATTCAGGGAACTTTTTCTACAGAAAATGTAAGCACCTACTACATAAGGAGTTTGGTTGGGGTTTTGAGGATCTCTCTCTCATATTTAAATATGTGAATTCAGTGAAAGTCCTTTTACAGTTTACATGAGTCAATTACTGAACAGCATCAGATAAGACATTCTCCAATTCTGTGCCCCAAAGTACAGTGAAACGCAAAGGTAAGGCCAGAAACAAAGCCATTCATTTATCAGGTGGTTTGGTTATTTTGTCCTCAAGGTTTTTTTGCTCTCCAATTCTGTAAAAATATACTAAATAACACAATGCAGGTAACTTCTAGTACTGCAGAAAGTTGTCATTATCCATTTCCAAAAATGACTACAGAAACACAAGTTTCTCTAGAATGAAATAATTTCCAATGATGCTTAACAGATATGATTCATAATCAAATGGATTTATTCAGTCCACTGTGACACAGGATGATGCAAATCAGCATTCAGATGGGCAGGTGGGGCATGCACTAAAATCAATGGCAAACAAGTTTAAGGACCTGACATTGTTAATATCAGGAATTATATTTTGCCTTGGGAGCTGAGGAGCTACACGCACTCTCTCATATGGCCACGGATATTCATTGCACTTCTCATAATGTCCATGGCTCTTTACAGCACTGCAAAGATCAATAATAAAAGCTTGCAGAGGCTGAGTTTTGAATATTGCAGCAGCGGGTTCTTTATTCAAACCAAGACAATTACTAACCTGTACCGGCTCTCCATCTACCTGAACCTGGCCTGCTATTTCCATCATATCCAGTGCTAGGTGACAAATAGATCGTGCATGGTGAATGCACGGCTCTGGTAGACCACTCACTGTCATATATTTGTCTCCAACAGTCTCCACCTATCAAAACAAATATTTCTAAGTTATTTTATTGTCTTGTGTTTCAGAAAGCTAGCCCTGATAAGATTCTTTCTAGATTGTCTGTCATTGCAAATATTTTCTTCCTCAACTTGCATTTATCTTATTTGCCTTGTTCCATTGTTTGTGATTAAAAAGTAGAGTATATGCTGAAAAGGACATACACTAAAACCTTATTATGATTATGCGCACCTGAATCACTTTTTCTGGGTTTTCAATAAAAATGCAGCTGTGTGTGTACAGTGTTGATTCCTTTTTCAACTTCAGGACATAAAAACATCTTCTGGTTATTGCCCAGAAAAAATTATATACCTTTCACTTGACTGGTCCAGAACCAGTACTTGCAGAATTTTTCTAACTCAGAAAATATTTGGATTGGTTCATCAAAGTACTTCTAGACTTGATAAGGTGGGAGGTGGTGTTGGACATTGGGTGCATCTACATATTGCCATATGGCACACACTACAGCAACATAGTGATCACATGGGTCTACAAGTGATCACCAGCTACATCGCTGCAGTGGTGTGCTCCCCCCATATAGCATGCCACTATGGCAATGTAGCTGGGAAATTTACCCATGCGTGGCATGCACAGCACAGTACCAGCCCATACTGTGCCATGCTTTAGTATGTCCAAAAGGAAGTACTAAAGGACAGAGCTGTAGCAATGTTGTCATCCAGCAACGTGTAGACGTGCCCATTATAACTGTATTCTGTCTCCAAACTTACTGATATTTTTTCACTTGGCATATACTTTGAATATGCCAATAGATCATTACTTAGCCTCCTCTTGTAAGAAGGCATATAGGCATTCAGAGTCCTGGCTACAAATCCAGACCTCAGTGCTCACTCACAAATTCAGAAATTAAAAACCATGATTCTTTAAATACATAACACCAGGTAATTTAACTCTTCAGTAATAACCTTTTTGATAGAAGAGTGCAATATACCAGGAAAACGTAAAGGTTTTATGACTGGTTTACATCTTCAGGATTGCACACAGATGCAACAACAGTGGGGATTTATGAAGAGAGTCTGTAATGCATGGTTATGACAATGAACCCAACTTATATACCCCAATCTATAGGAAACACGTAAGTTCTCAAACTCATATCCTCATTGAGGCTGAGCTGCATCTCACTTCACAAGCAGGGTCATTTTAAGACCTTAATTAGTCAGAGAAAGGGTATCAGAGCGTGATCTATAATGGTTCCAGGGAGAGGCTGGGAAGAATTGTGTCTCCTGCAGTTAAAATCTTTCACTGGGTTCTCTCTGGACTGGTACAAGAAAACACCAAATCCAATCCAGTCGTGTGCTGTAAGGGCCATAAACTTAGCCCTCTGGTTTCTCCATGTTCCTTAAACAACCCTGACAATATATAGACTATCTTTAAATTGGGTGGTATATCAATTACAGAATAGATGCTTCTTCTACCTTATCTCTCTAACTCTACTGTTAAGAAGACAACAACAGAAGACAGATTGTATTACATGGACACAGTCATTTCCAAGTGCAGGACTATAAATACATTTCTGCAGCCCTGTATGTTGCTAAAACAAGTCCGTGTTCTTTTCCTCCACAAGAACAAAATCCAAATCAAGTTTCTAAAAGTGTCCGAAACACAAAGGATGACAGAGAAATTATGTTAATTTATGGCATTCAATTACAGCAACATAATAGCAAAGACCAAATTCCACACTAAGGTAATGAAAAAAAAAAAATCTCATGTTTACCTTATAAACAAATGGATTCCTTCGTGAATCGGTCAGAATATCAAATCTGGTATACAGATCGTTTAAAAGATTAACAATTTTCATGGCTCCTTCTCCAGAGGCATGTTTACTGCAGAATGCATTAAATCCAACAATGCCACTAAACAGAATGGTCACATTGTCATACCGCTTAGCAGGCACAGGGCGCTTGTGTCTCAGCTCATTTGCCACAGATGGTGGAAGGACAGAATACAACAAGCTAGATATGTAAAAAGAAAAGGATGAGAGAGATATACATAAAATAAATATATCATTAAAACATTACCTTATCTCCATGCACACTTATTATATCTTAGTTACTTTTAACAGCAAGTGATATAACTAGCTTATACAGAAGTACATACTCCTTTAAGAATTGAAGCTGGTCTACCCCAGTGTGGTTAAAGCAATTACATTAAAAAGTATATGCATTGGCAGCATGCAGGAGTTAGTACTATGAAATGTGTTATTAATCTTTAGATGTAATCTATTAAAAGTTGTACAAGTCTACTTTTCCTTATGCTGGAAATGTTTTGGCCACTTAATGTAAATTTACACCTATAAATTGATTTTGTTCTACTGATTTCCATGGTTCTAAACCCATTTACACAAGATGTTCATCTGGGCCTTAAGGTTTACTACGTTATTTTCAACAAACAAAATGATCCATATGATGAAAACTAAAAAGCTCATACTGTAAATCACCATGCAAATTGTCATCTAAATCTCCTTAGTTTTTCATCTTTCATTGTGTAGAACTCTAATTCAAACTTTAGTGACCAAAGTCAGTGGTGATAAATAATATGTGCTTGGCAAACCCACCCCCACCAAAACTATGATGGTCACGCTCAGGTGAACAGCAGACAGTGGGCACATCTACACATGGCCATACAGCACCTTTGGTACTACATAGTCATTTAGTACTTCCTTTTGGAAGTACTAGAAGACAGCACAGTAATAGCTGGTACTGCACCATGCCGCCGCGCATGGTTATTTTTGGCCATTACATCACCGTAGCAACATGCTATAATGAGGGAGTACGTTGCTACAGCAACGTAGAGGTGACATCATAGTTTTTGCCAACAGACACTACGGCGCCATATCATCTTGAGTAGACACGCCCAGTATTTTGCAGATTAACATAATGAATTTTAGAGTCCTGATTGATCTCATCAGTTATAACATTTCAAATAAATAGTACAGCCTAAAACTGAAACATGAAAGCTAAGGGAAAAAACGCGAGGCAAAAACATGAGAGAGATGAGAATAATGGATGGATGCTCTTCCCCTAAATACACAGAATTTCATAAAGTCTTTCATTTTAACCACATATAAATGCTCAGCATCAAGCACTGGAATTACTCGGGATGGTTTTAATCGCATCCTTGATTTCCCTATACCAGTGGTTAGCAACCTTTTAAGGCTGAGGACCCAATTCATTTTGGGCCATAGGTGAACTGGCAGTAGGACCCAATTGCTGCTGCCATTTTTTAAAACACCTACCACTGCCACTTTTTTCTGTTGCTGGCATGGGAAAAGTGCCAACCACCGCCACTTTTCCCCATGCCCACTGTCATCATTTCTCCTTGCCCCGGTACAGAGAAAGCACCTGTCACCAGCACAGGAAAAGCATACACCACTAGCACAGGCAAGGCGCCCACTGCTGGCATAGGGAAAATGTCTGCTGCCACTGCTTTTCCCTGTGATGGCACAAGGAAAGCAACTGCTGCTGAATCCCCTCACCACCCAGTGCTTCTGAAGCCCAGGTCCACAGGTCAAATCAAACGGATCCATTGGCCAGGTAAATGACCCCTGTCCTATAAAATTCTAAACTGCTTCCCAGTCTGAAGACAATACTGGGGCCAGTCCTGCATGGGTGCACAAATATGAAAAGACCCTGCAGGGACTGCCTTCTCAATTATGCATCTTGGATTCTGCCATCTCTGAAGACAGGAAATAATAGTGATGATGTCAAAGAATCATAGAAAATTAAGGTTGGAAGGGACTTCAGGAGATCATTTAGTCCAACCCCTGCTCAAAGCAGGTTCATCCCCAACTATATGTCAATGATAGCAAACCCAGAAGAATGGGTCTACTTGTTGGAGCAAAATCTACTTGCCTGAGGACAAGGCCACACAACTGGGTCTGATTAACTTCATTCGTATTTATTTCAAAAGCTGTGGTTGGAACTCGTTTGCTGTCTATGATACTGACATCAATGGAATTTAATCAGGCAAGCACGGACTAACCACGTAAGCAAAAATAGGCAAATTGGACCCATAGTCCTTAGTAAAGAATATATGCTTTTCTAGGTTTTATAAACTTATAAACAAAAGTTTAAAACAACTGAAAAGTCATGTTTGAGTACAATGAAGTCTTTGTTTGACATAACAACAGATTTTCTTTCTTCAATCATCCAAGCACAGGTGCTAAAGTTTTCAGACAGCTCTGCTGAGAAAGTTCCCAACCTTGCAGCAGCTTTGTGCAGATCACCACCTTCTTTTCTATAAAATCCCATTAATTATTCTGAGATTGTCAGAATTGGGGGTTGCCAATGCAGATCAGTACACAAAATATGAAACTGTTATTGATGGTCAAAGTAAATTTTAAAAGCCAAATAAAACTTGCTAAACAGAAAAAAAATATTAAGGCTTCCTATGACTCAGAGCTCCTTAACCTATCATTTTCCCCCTAGTCATATTTAGAATATCTGTCACTCCTCCACAGGCTAAGCAATATGATAAACTATACTATGATATTTAGGATATGCCAAAGTTCCTATAATACAATAAAACCCATTAAAAACTTTACTACTACACAGTTGGTACTATTTTTTCCAATAGGACAGTTTGCTTTTAATCACATGCTGCCTATCACATAACCAGTTACTTATAGTTAATCAAATATAAGATGGCCCTGAATATAAGATGCCCCTCTAAAAATTAGATTCTATATATGGAAAACTTATAAATTTGTTATAATGTTCTATGTATCTAATTATTGGAGGTTTCCCTTGAATTGGTCCCCTTTCCCACTGCTACAACAGGGAAAATAAATCTGGTGGGTCAGGTAGCCCCCTTTGTCCCCCAACTTCTACCTCCTGCAGTCCCTCCCCCCTCATTCCTTACAGTCAGACCCTGAGCACACAGAATTCAAAAGCAAGTTTGAAAACAATAACCTTGAAATTATACATGGCTGTAACAAGTTTGATATACGACCCATATACTTAGTTCACCCAGGATTAATAGGTTACCATTTTTTTTAAACTGCTGCAAGTTTTAGCACAGGTACTTCATAAACACTTTAAGCAGCACTTTGGCACCTACTTATATGTAGTACAAACTATGCATTAGTCCAAACCCAAAGGAGTGAATTACCAATGATTAGGTTCATTGGGCTGGGCTCTACCTACCAGAGTCAATAGCATTTCAAGCCATGGTGACCCCACAGTTCAGCACTGCTCAGTATAGGTGTGTGCTCCAGATACCCGCCACAAAGGATTCATGTGCTAATTAGCTCCCACTCATGACTGGAACCAGGTGTTCTTGTCATGAATCCTGGGATCCTCCAAAAATGTATATGCCTATGAGATGCAGAGCAACCTGGTCCAGCTCCACCTCATGGATGGCAAAACCATACTAATCATATGTGACAGGCTGAGAGAAAAGTGTTTCAGAAGGATTCTGGGTGAACTGTTTGGGACCCCATTTTGTGATGTTTGCCAGACATTTAAGGCCGGTGAAGAAACAAGAATCATTGGAAATGGGAAAGAAAGGAAGAGGAAGTTGAAATGTATGCAATGTAGCAGGCTCAACATGACGTGAAAAAGTAAGTGCTGAGGGGGACTGGTACTCAAAGGCCACTAGCATATATCTTATTCAGATGGGCTGAACAAACCTATCCTTGTGGTAGGTTCCTACCAGCATGTTTGCCCAATATGGCCTTGTGTTTTATAGTTATGCCCTGTTTTGCCAGTGTTTAATCAGCTTCATAGTTGGTTTCTTTTACTGAGGACACGCTACTTTTGGCAGCAGTTTAATGATATACAATGTATAAGCTTTGTATGCAAATGAAAGACAGGGGGCTTTTTTACTCGTGCCAGTTGAGGGGGGTCTCTCATCTTGTATTCAAGTAAATATGGTAATGCATCTGTTACTAGCTCTTGTTCTCAGACTTGTTCAGAGACCTTTATGTAATACTAAAATTAACATACACACACTATTATATACTAGATCACCTCTCACAAGGCCCATAGTATCTAGATTAATAGCATTCTCTAAGAAGACTTCCTTCTATATATCATCTGTTAGGGGTTGCATGCATGTAGGAGAGGGTGTTGTCTGACAATCTTTAGTGAAGAAAATCAGATTTCTTGTAGTCTGATTATGCTTCCTGTCATATTTAAATGTAAGTTTTTCATAATTAAATACTATTCATGGTAGAGAAAGACTTCCTTAATAGTTTGTTATTTTCCTCTATATAATTTCAAATGGTCTGTTCCCTAAGAATCATCTCCTTTATCAACAGGTCACATACTAAATTATAGCATGATTTCTGCAGCATTGGCATTTTGTTGGTGGCTCAAACTAGCACAGCTTCAGCAAGATGTTTTCCTGGAACATTATTTCTTCCAACCATTTCTAAAGGAAAGAGGACTGTTGGTTCACTTTAGTTCCTAAATGTGTTCAGCAAGGAAGAGAAGCCCTCCATTAATTTGTGTTTAAACATATGCTTTGCAGATGAGGTTTGAAAATTATTGGAATATACAAAACTGTAAAGGGCAGCAAAATTGTCCTTTTTTGGCTCCAAGCATCCTAGCTTTGAGGCCCTACCTATCTCTTCATCCATTTCTTCTAGGTTTATTTTATAGTAAATTGAGTACAAATAATAATTAGCCAAATGCATTCCACTTTAACACTGGGAGTTAATTCTTACGTGTCTGTCTTTTTCTTCTCATCTTCCAATGCTCTTAAGGTGTGCTGAAGTCTATCTGTAAGGATCTCCAGTTCCTGAGTCAGTTTATATTCCTCTCTGAACTGTTCTCCCAAAAGGACTAGATCACGGGTAGCATCATGTAATGGAATATCACTCAGATATAAACCTCTTCTGGTTAAGTCATCTAAGTTCATCACACTATAATGTGGAGAAAAATTGTAAAATGTATATGTGATAGTATAGCATATGTAGCATATATAGTATATGTAATACTTACTAAACTTGTTTAAGCGATATTTAAACTATGAGGCATAATTTGGGGTCTCACTAGCAAAATGATCAAGTAATACATACAATGCATTTTGGGGTGCCCTTTACAACATAATGCAGTTACTTGAATCCAAGATGAGTTTCTCCCCACCCCCAGGGCTGGGGATGGAAGCAATTGCAGTAATAGGTAGGAGTCAGAAAGGGCAGTTACCAGGGAGGCAAGCAGCTGGGGTGGTAGGCACCAGGGGGAAGCAAATGGCAAGGGAGGATGTGGCAGGCAGGGAGGGCAAGGGGCAGGCTGTCTGCCCCCCGCTCCCCAACCACTGCTTTCCCTCCACAGCAATGGATAATTTTCCATTTATAGATTATAACTATTGAGGGGTCATCTTAAATTCAAAGTCATCTTGGATTCAGGTAAATATGGTATCTCTTTCATCAACTGTCTGAATACATATCTTTTAAAAAATTCATCAAATAACAGCATTGCTGAAACCTGCTGTACAGCTGGTGTTACTTGTCTCCAGACCCTGTCTCTCTTTAATTAGAATGTAAATATATTAGAGGTGACAGCTGTGAGGCCATTTCCTTTTCCTCAAGTTAAGATCTATGCTTTTTGGATCATAAGATTAGAGAAAAGTAAGACTGGAAGGGGCCTCATACGGTCATCTTGTCTAACCCCTACTCAAGGCAAAATCTTCCCCTACTAGACATTTGACAACTATGGTTTATCTAAACTGCTCTTGAAAATTTCTTCCTAATCTCCATCATAAACTTCCTCTGCTGCAGTTTGAGGCCATTCCTCCTAGAACAGTCTCCTACACACATAGAGAAAAGTCTATCTTCAGACTCTTTACTAATCACCCTCAAGGTATCAGAAGACAGTTATGACATCCCCTTCAAGTCTTTTCTTTTGTGGAATAAACAATCCTAGTTATTTCAGCCTCTCTCATAAGTCTGTTTCCCAGGTCTCTAACAATTTTTGTCACTGTCTGCTGGACTCCTTCCAATCTGTCTGCATCTTTCTTGAAGCATGAGGCCCAAAACTGAAAATAATACTCCAAATGAGGCTTCACCAGTGCTGAAGAGGGAAAAATCACTTCCCTTGATTTTGCAAATGATGCTCCTATTAATACAGTCCAGTATACTATACTATATGCCTTTTTGCAACAAAAACACACTGTTGGCTTATATTCAGCAGTCTGTGTAATCCCCAGGTTCATCTCTGTAGTACTGTAGCCTTGCCAATCATTCCCCAAGCTGTATTTATACATGCAATTATTCCATCCCAAGTACAGGACTTTGCACCTGCGCTTGTTGTATTTCATTTGATTAATTTTGGACCTTTTCCTCAGTTTATCCAGGCCATTGTGGATCCTACCCTTATTGTCTGGGCTATGAGCAGCCTCACTTCAGTCTTTTGTAACAATCCAGGTGGTGATCATCACACTATGTGAGAATGTATTTTCTAGAACTATTTTTCCTGTTGATACTGAAGAACCAGTGCATCTTGTCCAAGCACGTGGAATCAGCTTAAAACCTGTTTTACAGTTTTTTTTTAGTGTTATCATATCAAATGACATGACTTAAGTTGAAGTTCTTAAAAAATGATGGGACAATTCAGATGATTTTTATAATTAATTATTTAACTAATTGATCATGTTTTACCCTCTAAATGCAAAATCCCTTATCCCAGTTCAAGTCCATCAAGATCAGTGGGACTGCACCACTATAGCAGGGATCATCATTTGGTCCAGTAAATTTCCCTAGTCCCACTTTCAAAAGTGACTTGCCAGTGGTTAAGCACTGTCAGAAAGAAACTAGTATTACAGACCTCTTACTGCTTAAAGTACCTTGGAGAACAAAGAAAAAGAATACTATCCGCTTCAGGTAAGTAGATCATTTGACCTTTGAGACGTAAACAGCTGATTTCTCTGCCAGTTAGTTCATCTTCACACTCCAACTTCTCTACATCCAGCAACCCTTCCTTGTAATGAAAAAGGCATAGTTATTGCACAACAACATTGATATCCATGTTACTCTACTGGAAACGGGAGCACACACATGCATGCATGCACATGCGCACACACAGAGACACCCCTTCAGTAGGAGGGAGGTCAGGATAGCTGGGATTGCTGCTTATAGAATAAATTACAATCAGAACTATATGAACTGGTCACCTGAACATGTCAAAAATACCTCATGTTTAGCTCTCCTATGGTAGCCTCTGTTCTTTTGGTATCCTTCTTTACCTACATGACTACTGCTTTCCATTTTCTTCTAATTTCTTCACAAAGCCTTGACATGTACACTGCTCTCTCCTTTTTTTCCCCCACCATGCTTGTTGTTAGCAGTATGATGCTGGTGCTTTGAGTTTGTGGGCACACATTTTGTTGGCTCTGGCCTCCTTCTCCTCATTTGTTAGATGTTACATCTTGCATACAGAATCTCCTTACCCACTCTTTACCCAGATGCAATGTCCAGTAAATTAATCAGGCTACCTTATATAACTGCTGATATTTCACATGTTGCATCTGGTTTACACAGAACTAGCATTACTGCTATACTACCCTGTCTACAGAGTAGAAAGTAGGACCAAGCTGGGGTTGAGTAGGACATATCTAATGGTGAAAGCAGCAGCATATCACATCTGGTTTGCAAATTATTATGCAGCAATTCTTTGTCCTTTCACTAATACTCTTGAAGGAAGGCTGCCGCTGAGCAAGATCTTAGCACAGGAAATCGTTGTATAAGTAAGGCACCTCCCCATGCCTACAGAATGTTCCACTGCTATGAGTATGTATATATTCATGAATTCATTTCCTTAATCCAAGATTCAAAATGAACTTGGGGCTTACTATTATGTAAAGGATTTTTCCTGCATTTTCCCTTAGGGCCCCAAGGTTTTCAGGCCCTTAGCATTATCTCTGTAGAGCATGTTTCTATAAAAGCTAAACAAAAATGAATTGGTTACCTTGGTTCTCAGTACAAAGACAGTGTTGATATGTGAGAGGATTCCATGGAAGCTAATATCAATGTGAGGCCGAACCAAGGAGAAAACTGACAACAGATTGCAATTTCCAGGTTGAAGCTAGGACATAAACAAGACACAGATTTTTCTACAACCCGAAGCTATTCATACAGTGATTATACCTCTTCCTCATTTATATACAATATAAAATGGAAGAGCTTTATAAGTATTTATCTGGAGACTATGCTGGCACATGCCTCATGTAAAGTATCTGACTCATTTAAGACAGTGCCCATATACAATTCTATCCCAGTAAATGACTTGCAAAACCAGCACTGCATGGTGCATATTTGCTGGCCCTCAAAATTACTTTATAAATATAAAGACTGTTTTTTCCTAATCATCATCTCTGCAAGCTCACCATGGAATCATAACATCAGGCTGAGCTCTTTCATGCTTCATCTCCAGCAACAAACATTTTGTGGGCTAAACCCCATTATTCCTTAGCTACACCTGTTCAATGAAAGCCACTGGGAAAAATCTGTAAAACCTCTGTTCTGTTCTCAAATCCTTTTGAAAGTCCCAGTTTTAGGATATCATCAAAGCACAGTCGTGATGTTATACAATAATCAAAGTATGCTCATGTATTCTTAGCCAACATAATATGATTAATACTATTCTTATTCTCCCTCTCCTTTCCCATACATAATTAACCACATTTATTAGTTGCATCTGGTCTAATGTTTCATATTGCTTTATGTATATATACACAATACATAGTACAATAGGGCCCTAATCCTAACTGCAGCTTGTGGGTACTACTGTCATATAAAAAACAGCAGGAAAGAACAATTGTGTTGAATCAGGTATACAGACATACATCGAACTTAAGACTCTGGTTCTCTAATCAGAATGTAGTAAGAATCAGTGCTGATTTACAAGTCAAAGGAATATTCAATTGGCAGCTATGTTGGCTCTGTAGGCCTTAAATTAGGGAAATAATTATTCTTTTGAAAATAACCCCTGAATATGTACAGAGAACAATGTGTCAGGGAACAAGGTGTAATTTGTATACCGTTTCAAAGTAGAACAGTACTGTTAGATGAAGATTAAACACTCTGAAGGACAAAAACAAACCCAGGTGTTATTTAAAATGTCTTCAGAATTAGTCTGCAGAATCTATTATCATATTGTACTATATTACAAGCATATATGAAACCAAACCAGCATTTGTATTGTTTAAAAAAATATAATATTCATTTTTAAAACTGCTCATTTAAGATAATGGCCTGACCTGAGGAAGAACTCTGTATATAGCATTGCCACACTGTGTGACCACCAGATCTCTGTCAAATATTATGTGGAAAGGAAAAGCCTTGCAGAAAGTATATGGACTGATACGAGATTCCTGAGTACCATTCTCTTCAAATCTGTCAAGGTCTTCATAAAAATCCTCTTCCTTAGACTCTCTCTCTTCAATCAAGAACTGAATGTGGTCACATTCTTCACTTCTCTGCTGAATTACCTGGACAAAAAAGAAGAAACACTGCAGGTGGCAAAAGTCTTTGTCCCATGTTTATAAGAGGAACCTTATTTCAAGGACAAAACACACATTTAGACACTATATAGATAAATAAACAAACATCAAAGGATGACTTCTGCTCTTCCAAAAACAAGGTACTCTTGTTACATCTCTAGTTATAAAAAAAAAGTCTGTAATTTAAGGAGAATGATCATTTCTTTGTTTAAGCATTTGCTTTTGGTATTAAATAAATAAATTAAAACTAAATTGATTAAATTGGATAATTACATTATTTAAATAAATTATATTTAATGGATATTTCTGTACTAACTCCATGTCTTCTAAGTAGGGGATTCAGTCTTAGGTAAGATTGGTTTCTGTTGGCATAGGACCTCTTGTGATGGAAACCCACTCTAGAAGGCTTTGTGTTGCCCAAGTCACCTGAATCTGCATCTGTACCTGCATATGGAACCTATACTTGGTCAATGGAGCTTAAAAAGCAATGCTGCAGAGAGGGCATGATATGGCCAGGCTGTTCTGCCCATTTCTGGACTCATCTCTGCAAGCTCACCATGGAATCAACTGCAGTAGGAAGCTACCCTACTCTCATGAACTTCCAAGCGTAAGCAGTCATCTGTCCTCTCTGAGGACCGCTTCCTAGTTGGAGTAGCTTCTGCTTATTCTAGAAGTGATTTGCACCACCTTATACCCATGAACCTGAAACAAGCTTAAAATGTGTGTGAAACAGAAAACATATTCTGTACGGCCTAGCAACAAAGAAACGATCCCACAGAAGCCCACACTTGTAGAAATAAACTGAAGACCAGTGAGTGGTTTTTCCCATTTGCCACTCAATCTCTGCAGCTTTAGTATAAACAGATGGTAGCATTTTAAGCAAACTAATATCACAAAATTTATGGATAGGGACTAACCTAAATTGCAGCGAGATGAAAGTATTTCACAGGCCACTTGTGGCACGCAGAGCTGATTTCAGTGACACCCCCCCACCACTGATTGGCTGAGGGGCCCCCAGAGTCCCACCCCTCACGGCTGATTGGACAAGAAGCCAATCACTCATCTTCAGACTGCAGCATTGCTACAGCATTGCATTGGGCTTCTTAAAAGATGGTGTCAAAACCTTTTTGCTTTCCTGAAACTGGTGCCTATATCACTAGCTCAGCCTATCAGTAATTCTCTCTCAAACCACGTGCTCTATGGCTGCAGGGATTGCCATGCTTTCTTTGTATTCCAGTAAGCTTTTATTTAGGGGGGAGGGGAGGGCCGAGTCCATGCAAAATCGCAGGAAACACCATTTTTTGTGATTACTCCTTTTTTTCCCCATGGCTTCTGTGAAAATTGAGAAACTGCAATTTAAATAGGTCCCGAATTATGGATCATAGCAAAAGAAAATGAACAAAGTCTTCTACCTAGTGTAGTAGGGAGGGCTGTGTGAAAATGAGGGGTCTGAATCTGTAATCCCTATTCAGGCAGGCAATAATGGCTGCATTATCTAGCCCTATAATTACAACTAACAGAATAAAAAGTTTTTGCCAAATCATATTTGCTAATGTTTCATATTAAAAACATAATTGTACATGTTACATTACCTAACTTGCAGTATAATTTCTTGAGCTCAGGATACCGGTTCAACAATGTTGCTCAAAATTCATTAGAATAATGAAATGAATAGGGATAATTTTGTTTACATGAAGAGTCATATATCATGATATAATTAAAGCAGATTCCTAACAGAATATCATAATTTATGTAGTGAGGCCAAATTCACCTCCTTTCCAAACCTAATTAAATTTAATAAATGGAATAATTCTATTTGTGCAGTACTGATTAGCAGCAATTTATTGTAACATATCAGGACTGGTTCTGTTCTCAATTAAAGCCTGATCTAAAGCTCAGTGAAGTCAATGGGATGCTTTCTATAGATGTTAGGGAATTTTATATCAGGCCTTTACATAGTGAGCAAATCTGCAGGCTTCAACAAGGTGTAAAGCAGGCCTGATGCAGCAAAATCCCTATTCAAGTGTTTAATAAATCCTGTTAACGATATAAAGCATGGATTCAAGAACGACTTCAATATGTTTTTGTTTGTTTTTTTTTTTTTTATCCCAGACCAAAATGTTAAAATCACCAGATAGGATCAAAATATAAAGGGGAACAAAGGCCTGTATGAGCCCTAAAATGGCAAGTCTTAGACTTAATCTACTTCTGACAGTTTCAAAATGAAAACATAAGTGCACATGACTTCAAACACTGAAATGTAATAACTAATATTTGCAGCATATTACAGGGTCTTTCCCTTTCTACGCCTAGCTGTTAACTGCTGTTTATTAATATCAGTTACAGAAAGAGGCATTACCAAAAATCTTTTCCATCTTTGCAAGGTAAAACCATGTTGTGCTTTTACAGCACCAGGAGGTATAACTATCCAAACAACTTCGTAGGCATCAAAGAACTAGGACCTAAAACATAATAATGATACTAGTATTTACAAATATCTCTATGTTACACAGAAGAAAGCTGCATGGCACAATGACACAGACAACAGTTCTAGCTGAGCACAGAGCAGAAGCTAGGACTTGTGACTCGCAATCGAGTGTTAAACAGAAACAGCTCTTCCACTTGCACGTCGTTTGTCCTGCTCCTCATTTCTATTGGGCTGAGGCTGTTTTTTATTTGTACTAGCCAAGTGTGACTACATTATGCACAAAAATACAGCTGAGACGCAAACAGCAGAATCCCATTTCGCTTTATGTGCCCAAATGGCAATTACTTAGCCATGCAACTGCCATTTTTGGTCCTTATGCACAGTTTGCAATCTTCCTACATGCACAGCATGGTACACAGCCACATAGCTACTGACCATGCACAGTAGGCTACACCCTGGTCAGGCAAATACATAACTCCATATGCATCTGACCTAGGCAATGGTAAGGCAAACTATGCTGGCAAAACACCATGACTTAGCAGATGCAGGAGGAGGTCTTTCCTATGTCTGAGTCCAGTATTCCCTAACTTCATAAATGAATGCATGAAAGCAAAGGATGTTACTTAAACAAATCATTCATATGTTATTTTCAAAACTCCTGTCAGACAAGGCACGGAATGAGTGCTACTAAAAATAAATAGATGAATCTGAAAATGTCTAGCAAGGCTTGAGATTTGATCCTACAAAGATACATCAAGCTTCCACAATGGATAAGGCCAGCCAGCTATTGTGTACGAGTGCTGGCAAGTTTCCCTACCTTTACAGAACGCAAATGTGTCAACAATCGCATAAGGCTGCCATCAGAATGCATAATCCTGGCTTTGAAGTGAGCACTCAAACAAACAGCACTGTGAAGGGCAATTGTGACGCTATAAAAAGTGACATATAAACAAACATTCCTGTACTAAATAAGAGAACAATGCCACTAAACGTGTGGAAAACAGAAAAGTGATTAGCCTGAAATCAGGCAGAAAGTTAGATGGGAGCCACCTTAGAGACTAACTAGTTCACAGAGGCATAATCTTTTGTTTAGGTGACAGACTATTTTATCATCACCTACAAAAAAAAAAAAAAAAACCACCAAAAAACCTCAGGTCTCTCTGAACCAGTCTCTAAGGGTGCCTATGCACAAGTGCAGAGGCTGCTCTGACGTGGTACAATTACAGCATGTCAAAGCAGACTCCATTAACTGAGTCTGCTGGAGCATGACAATTACCACAATCCATCCAGCCTCCATGTCTCATGTATCAGCATCCCCGCAAACAAGCTTCAGTTTAAGTGCCCTCGCAACCATTTCGAAGTGCAGAGATGTGAAACACGAGATGCTGTGGAGCTTTAATTAAAGTGGCTCTCGGAGCCGCTCGAATTAAAGCGCTTCCCCCCCACCCCCAGAATACATGTAAAAGTGCCCTTAAGGTGCCACCCTGCCCTTCCTTCTGCCTGTGTAGAAAAAGAAGCAAAGAAAGTAACTAAAGGCCTGAGCCAAAGCCTGCCAATGGGAATCTTTGCATTAATTTGAATGGACTTTGGACCAAACCCTAGAAGAAAGCAAATTCATCTGCACCTGTTAAAAGCAGTAGCCAAGTTAAATTATTATGGACTTTCTGTATATAATGTACCTATAAATTGTATTCCTGTAGTTGATTTTCTAAAAACTACCCTAAACAACTGAATATAGAAAATCACAGTAAATTAGGGCTGGAAGGGACCTCAGGCGGTCATCTAGTCCAACCCGCTTCTCAAAGCAGGACCATCCCCACCTAGATCATCCCAGCCAAAGCTTTGTCTAGCCAAGTCTTAAAAACCTCTAAGGATGGAGTTTCCACAACCTCTCTGAGTAGCCTGTTCCAGTGTTTTACTACCCTCCTAGTGAGAATAGAATGTTATGTTTCCACTACAATTTCCCTACTCTGCAACATTATTAAGTAACACAACTGGGAACCATCTGGCATTGACTGATCAAGTATAGGCTACTCTTCCTATAGTAATCTGTTCCATTTGGTACAGGGCTGCCATCAACCTTCCATCCTATCAACCTGGTCCCAAGCCCAATACCAAAATCCACACACCTTCCTCATATGACAGTAAAGGGATTGGGGAAGAAATTGTCTCTTGGCTGCAACACCTATTAAGAGACTCATTCCCATTCCTCATCATTAGGAGATGCCTTCCAATCTGCCTCAATCTGAACAAATATCTGCAATCAGCATCTGTCTTCCAGAGGTACCAACACCCCTCTCTCTCTCTCCCCCTTGCCAAACTGTTCTTTCCCGTATAGTGGCCAGAATCGTATCAATTCCCAGGGAGAGAGTTTTAGCATATCTTCTATGAATAACTCAGATAATGGATAGGTAATTCATGACAGGTAATCTTGAGTCTTTCCTCCTGCTAACATTATTTACTTATCTCATAATTTTAACCACCTATGAAGTCTTGCAGGGCTTCTACCAAACTCTCTACTAAAGCATCTCAAACCAGGTTAAAATTGTCCCTGAAGAAG